CTGCTGAAGGACTTGGGCGTTCCTTTTCTTTTACCATCCTTATAGAAAAGAACAGCTGAGGGAGACTCAGATGCACGGAGCTTCCCCACATGTGATTTTAGTTGAGGTGAGCTACTTAGGCTCCTCCTGTCCAGCTCCATCAGTCTCGGAGGCCCATGATAGCTAGACTCTGATGAGGACCTTGAGGAGGAAACATTAACATCTACATGGACTTTACTTTCAGTTTTCTTCTTGAATTTTAGAGTGAGGAACCTCTTAAAGGAAGATTTCTTTTTCTTGGAATACTTATCAGGTGAGTCATTCTCTATCAAAAGTGATGGGGAACTTTTAGTGATTGGCTTTTTGGTGATGTAGGCAAGTTCAAAAGGAGGTGGTATATCCACAACTGGGGATGGAGTAGATACGCCACATGATGAAAGATGATTTCTCTGTGAAAAACTACCTGAGGAACCATTGACACAAGGCAAAGACAAATTGTCTTCTGTCCTTTTTATTCTACCATCATCCAGTACACAGCCGTCACCTTCTCTGTAAATAGCGACAGGTATCTCTCTCCCTTCAACAGAATAAGATCGAGGATATAAAATGAAACGTCTTGACTTGGTTGGTAATGCCCTGTTGGCTTCCATTGGTTTTCCTTCCACCGAAAATAAATTATTGCTTAAATCTTCTGCCCCAGAGTCATTGTGGGAAGATGGTAAATCAGTTTCATGTCCAGTTTCTTCTGGAACTGTTTCTGGGACATAGCCCGGCATTTTCCCAGAGAGTGACCGTGTTCTAGTGACAATGCTTTTACGATCAATGGGCAGCAAGTTGTTTTCACCATCCGTGCCTAATTCATCCTTTTCACTGTGATCAGCTCCTAAATCAGTCTGCCCATCATGAGCAATTTCATTTTCTGCAGGAAGCACATAAGGGTCATCTAGGGAATCACTGCTAGTTTCTCTTTCCTCTGATTCTTCAGGCACAATGACCACTTCAGGGACTGCTAGATTTTCATGCAAGACATGTTTGGTCCCACATTCTACGTTTATTTTGCCATGTTTACAGACTTGTAACTCTTCCTCGAGTGGGACCATGAGGGATGGATTTGGGACACTGAGGCCGTTTGCTTCCACCTCATTGTCTTCAAGTTGCAGCTCATCTGACTTAGACGTTTCCACAGTACTTTCACTATGCTCTTCAGCAGTCACATCTTCCAGCTCTGGCTCCATCCCTGGACTACTAGAGATCACACCATCTTCATCCAGAGAGGTCCCTTCTGTTTGAAGATTCTCATCTGAATGTTCCATGGGTACTTCCTCGCCACATTCATTCTCACAAGGAGCAATTTGATAGCCATCATCCATAATCTCTGCATTCACAGTTTCTTCTTCCCCTTTCCCAGAGTCTTTGCTTGCTTCACAGGCTACCTCTGACGTCTTCTCCTCACCTCTCCTCTCAGTGATCTGGCAGTCATCACTGGCATTTGCTGCGTTTGTATTACTGTGCTCATCTGGGTCTGCTTCCTCCTCTTCAGCTGCTGCTTGATGGATGAACTCTCCTAAATGATTTCCAGTATTGGGTTCATCTTCACATGGTTCTAAGCCAGGACCTGTTTCTTCACTGGCCTCATCAGGCGGCATGTCAGGGCTTGCACAGTCATCATTTTCTACCTCCCCTTCCATATTCAAATCAAGCTCTGCATGTGCACTGTGATCACCATCATGTGCTAGACACCCATCTTCCTTTTCTAAAATTTCAGGCAGTTCCTCCTCCTCCTTCCCTGCCGTCTCACAACGTAGGATTGATTCATCTGCGGGTAGTGGCATTACAATGGTATCTTTACAGATATCACCCATTAGTTCCTCATCTCTATTCAAAATGTTGTCACTGTCAGTCTCACAATCACTGTTGTCCTTATCCAGTTCCAGGTTGTTAGAAGTTTCCTCCTTGTTTTTGGTTTCACTACAGTCACTTACAACATCCTCATCTCCATCCACATTCTTGGAAGCATCTTTATCTCCATCAAGGACATCTGAGTACTCCTCACAAAGTGATTTGGGCTGGTCACAGTCTCTGTATGACTCTTCAGAGTCTGGTTCCATTCGTTCAGCAGTATCTGAAGAGTTATGGTGCTCATCTTTGGTGAATTCTCGATTACTGGTATCCTCATCATTAGCAATGTTATCGTCTTCCTTCTCTACCTCTTCTGGAGTTTCTGAGACTTCATTTTCCATAGAGGAATCTAGGTTCTGATCATGCTCATGTTCCAAGTCATTACAGTCTTTGCTGGTCAGCTGAGCTTCAGGAACTACAATGTATTCATTATCTGCCTCAGATTCTGGGCAATCAGCATTGTGTTGGTTTCCTTCATACAGCTCTCCATCAAGACATACCAGTTTCCCATTTGAGCATTTATTTAAGTTATTATTGGTATAAACACTGGATTTGCCCTCAGAGTCAGCTGAGAATTTTGGCTTGGGAGCAATAGGTGGTTTGGGACCCCTAGACATAGAGTTATGAAGAATATCAGCCCTTGGCAGTGAAGGAGAAAATTTGGAGACAGCTACTGGAGAAAGATGACCAATAATCTTTGGTTTTGGTGCTAGTGGTGGCTTTGTGATTTCTAGAGGAAAGAGAGAAAAGCCATGTTAGTCATCTTGGTTTCTTATTAAAGCCAGCAGAATATATCCTACAGTAGACTTTTATTTTATACCAGTGACTTCTAATGCAGAAGGAGTCCAGCCAATAAAAGGCTCAGCTCTTAAAAGAGAACTGAAGGAGCAAAGCATATGTACTGTGCTTCCATGTAGCACTGTAGCTATTCAAGGGAACACGGTTTAAGGTCAAAACCGAACGGAACTGAACTAGGTGCAGCCCTAGTGCGCTTGGGGAGAGAAAGATGTACAGCTGCAGAGCCAAGGGTATATCATACACAGATACCCACAGATGGATAACACCTCCTCCCACACTCAGAAGTACTAATGACATTAGAGACCTTTTGATTCTGCCCCAGAAATGTTTGCCCTAAGATTAAATATGAACACTTTGATTCAATGATGCTTCAGTGTTTCACTGCAATGAAAGAAATGCCTTTCAGCCATCATAGTTGTTCTTATAACACAGTATGTACACTTTGTAGCAATGATTTTAATTTCAATACATAGTTTGCAGAATTTGAGCATTGAACCAAATTAGTTCTACCCTCAGATCAAGGTTTAACTCAACCCAGCCAAACTGAAGGGAACACTTGGTGCCCAGACACACAGTCTTCCCATCTGCTATTACTATGGTAACAAAATACGGAGTTACATTTTGTTTGTCAAACCATGTAATCATGAGGGATAAGATGGTTTGCTAAAAGCTTGGATAATACTTTACATTGATTATGCAGCTGAGCTATAATGCACTGAATGAAGTACTTCAATCCAAGACATGAAGAGAATTACTAGTTTAAACTTAAGTTCAGTTTTCAGTGTACAGCTTCTTCAGTCCTTTCTTTAGTCGAAAGATCCTCCATCCTCCTGTAAATGCTAGGACTCCTTGCAGGTACAATCGTCTCTGAACATCAAAATATACTTTAAAAAAGTGAATTATCTTGCAAAATAACGCCAGCCAGGATCTCTAAACTATTTCTAGTGGAAGTGCTGACGCACGTGTAAGGGAATTCAAGCAGATTGGCAATAAGCTAGATTGAAGCTAGATGAATTAAGTCATATATGGTCATTTTACTCACAGTACAGTTTACATGCCACAACCATTTCCAGCTGTCTTGGTCCTGAAATTAATATTCTTTAAATAACTAAATGAAATGCTGAAAAGCTGCATAAATAGGCAACAATAGGGATCCTCCCTCATGAGATTTTAGATGAGATGAAATATGTGGTGTGAAGAAGCCAGTGCACCAAATGGTTACAGATGGTAATAAGTAAAGAGAAGGGGTTTCCTCTTGCTAATGTTTCCTAGCCATCAATAGGTAATTACATGGTTATTCAATCAGAAATCTCAAATTCTTTTTATAATTTTAATTAACACAGTTTAGTGGAAAAAGAGGAGCTCTCCATCGTAAGGAAGAGCACAGGACAAACTATTTCACCGTGAGAGAGACAGGAACAATTATTTGTGTAAAATCTTCATGCCCTACGACACCATTTGGGTCATGGTTCCTATGCAAAATCCCATCCTAAGTCACGGTATAAGTTTCAGGAAGTGTAGCTACTGTGCTCTTACATTTTGAGTATTTTGGAATGCAGACTTGACATCTGGAAGTTAGGACATTTAAAATTCAGCTGCACACCATACTGAGAATAAAGTGATACTGAACACAAACTGCTTAAAAACGATTCTCTGCTTGTCCTGATATTTGGTGTCACGGTACTTTTCTTACTGTTATTTTAGTCCAACTGGAGTAATTTGTATTGAACTAATACTGGCATATTTGTTTGGTCAGACTCCGGGAGATAAAGAGGCTGTTTCTTATGGACTTCTTAACCTTGCTGAAGTTTCTTCCAATACTCAGAAAGATGCTGACAATTTGGCATTCTGATGTAGTCAGAAAACAGTCTTTCTAGAATTATGAGACACTGGAGAGATTTCATCTAAGTTAAAAAACTGAGTCAGTGATCTCAGCTCAGAAGGAGTTAAAAGTTCGTTCTAATCAGGTGCCTTATTATATATACTGATTAAGAATTATTCTGTATCTGGGGTTTTATCCAATCCAAGTTCATATGCAAGAGGCTTAAAATGACTTGTGGGAAAGGAGGGAGAGAGAACTGCTTATTTGCCAGTCTCTAGTATTGTAGTGTGTACTCTTGTTTCACAGTATCCACTTGTTCTTTTTGCTGCAGGGCATCTGTCTAATTATTGAAATCACAGAATGGGTGGCTAATCTTTCCCTCCAGATTATTTCAGAAACGTTACGTGCCAAACACTTCACCGTCACTGAAGTACCATTGCTTCTGTTGCAGCCAGCAGCACGTCTGCAGCAGTTGAAGGCTGCAGAGGGCTGAAAACTGTTGCCAGTTAAAAATAAGGAGAGAATAGAAGTGGGTTGAGTATCTTGTAAGCCTGGCTCCCTAGCCAGACCTACCTTTTGGATTTTTAAATCTGTTGTTGCAGCAACTGAACTTCCTAAACTAACTTTTTGGTAGTAAAAATGCATGAAATTTTTATTAGCTAAAACTGAGTCCTTACACCTTTCCCACCAGAAACCAGCAAAGGACCCCTTACCACTATAACGAGGCATTTTTAGGACTAACTCCAAGGAAGAAGCATCACTTTGGAGGTATTATACCATTTCCTGCAGTGCCTGGCTTTTCCTAGTAATGTCTATCCAAGAGTAGGACACAAATACACCTATTCCATTCCTGGGATCTGACAAGGCTTGAACACAGTCTCTGCATTCTCATCCTTGTTCTTGCCGGATGGGAGTGTCTGTACTAAAACACCGAGTAATGAGAAAAAGACGGGACTGTAGGGAATGCCAGGCTCTCCCAAACTTTGTCTTACAAACAAATAGATAACCATGCAGACATCCACTTAAAACCCCCCATAGCTTAAACACAGTTACCCACTTTCTCTCCAGTGATAATTTTCTACAGCAAAAGGACTCAAGTAATCTTGAGTTTCTCCTGCTACCTTCAGTAACACTTCTAGTGGAAGAGAACTTTTGGTAATGGACCCTGTTCCTAATATGGTAATAATAGGCATTGTGATGTCCTACTCTTACCCACTTGTGCCAGCTACTGGTCACTACTGATTCTTTCCATAGTTTTTTCCTAACTGCTCTGTGCATTGATCTTGCCTTTTACAGGGCTCCTTAAACAATTTTCCTTTTTTTTTTTTTTTTTTTTTACCAAATTTGCTTTCTTAATCTGTAACAGTCCTGGGAGGAGTACAAGTGTTTGTTTAAAAAATAACCCAAACAATTACTGAAAAGAAAGCTCCGCTGTTTGCCTTTTATCACAACAATTTCATTCTGCTTCAATTTCTGCTTCCTTTGCTGTCTAAGCCACTTGAAAGGTTCTGGCTGTAACCTCTAAATGGACACAAAACAACATTGCAACATAAGAAATATGTATGTTCACAAATAATTGTGCATGTTTATTTTAGGATGTGTTTTATGTTGGAGGGAGACACACCCACCTTGTGCTTAAAAGGAAACTCTTGGGGAATAGGAATTTCTTTAGCCTACTCCTCCCCTTATTGTTCGATGCTTCCTTGTACTGACAAGGACAGCTTCCTCTCCTTACCCACCTTCCTCCAGGCAAACCTGCATTTCAGCATGGTTTCGTTCCTGCCATGGCCCATATGAAATTACATTGCTCTCCTCCCCTCCAGGTTTCTACGCAGTGAACAGTAACCTAGCAGCTCTCCTGGAGTGGCAATCAACCCACACAGACTTCACTGTTCAAGTGTTTCTTTGAAACAATAAACATTTTGTAGAGGGGCAACTACTCACTTTCAAATGTTCTGCAGATTTAGGAATTAGCCTAGAATTGAGTGAAGGCTTATAAAGGACTATGTCTACCAACACCCCGCCATCAAGCAGCTGGTTTTGGGGTGAAGACCTAATTAAACACAGAGGTTTCACATTTGCAGGGATATCTGTAGACATGTCCCAGGCCCATGCTCTTTGATGGTGGCTCAAGAAATGACTTGGGTCCACAGTGCAGATACTAGTTCCATCCCTGGCTGGTGCCACAATGCAGTTCAGGCATCTCTTAAGATGCTGAAAGTAGCTTTTTCTGACCAATGAACTTTTGTGGACCCACTGCAACAGTGGGATGAGACTGCACCAAACCTAGAATCCCAGTGGAAACCAATGCACACAAGTCCTGTCTGCCACTGCTTCTGCCCAAGAAGGGACTAAAATCCACAGATGGAAAGTGCCTGAGAAACAGGAGGTAGAGGGAGAACATCCAGACAAGGGCATCAGAAAGTGTTCAACTCTGATCAGGACCTGTATAATCTCACTTAGCTGTATCAGAATAAAGTTAAAACTTGTCTTCTAGAAGGCTTTGGTCTGAAGTCAGCAAAAGGTGGACCATATACCTTGGTATCATCCTTATTTTATTCCTGCAATGAATTGCTTGTTTTTAAAATAAAGCCCTTATTTCCAGTTAGTACTGTCTGGCTTCTACCTCCAGCTTCTATCCCCAGAATTCGTTACTGTTTCTTCTGCTGGGTTAAAGACCCTTTTATTATGCAGTATTTCTCTAGAGAAGACATATACTTCCCTAAAGCTATGTCTTGGTACATTCTTCTTTTTGGTAAGCTGAACAAATAAATTCATTAAATCTTTGCAGTTGGACAATTTCACCTTTCATGAAGTCTTTTCTGGATTTTTTCTGATCCTTTTCCAATATTCCAGTAGCCTCAAAGAAAATACATTGGGCAGACCTATGGGAAGAATTCCGCAGTGGGTACTGTTGAAGCTGTCTCTACGGAGTTCAGAACCTTCTTAGACCCAGTTCTCAGTATTCTCCGCTAGCTTGTTACTGTATCAGGCTGACTCGCTTGTCCATTATGACTGCTAAATGGTTCCCAAGGCTGTGTTGCCTGTTCATTGTCTCTAAACTGATAGCTTTGTAATATGTATTAAGTGTAATTTGTTTGAATG